AATACATTTCAGTCAAGTAAAAATAAAAAACGTTATGAGGAATTTAGATTGTCAGAATTTGTGAGAAGACAAAGAATGGATGCATCTGCGTCACTACAAACGATTTTGAGACATGTCATTCAAAGTCTCTAACTATTAGTTACGATGATCACGCCCACCCCAATCAGGTAGTCTACACCGATTAACATGCCAAAGTCTAATTGTCAATGTCTTCATAGACTGATGACATGTTTTGGTTTGGCCTCTCCTATTTTTCTTCCAGTGTACTCGTGCACCAGAAAAATCGCTCGTCATGGTAGGCAGTGGACGGGCATAGGCAACAAAACTCCCAACCACATTAGTTGGTGAAAATTTACTACCTCATCGGTCTATTTGTCATGCTTGCCTAGTAATCTATTCGTAACCCAGACATTGCTTACTCCGTGATCCTAAAATACACAAGTATTGCTTCGAACATTAGTACACTATGAATGTCCTCTATTCTTGATGGTCATGTTTTACGTCCATAAAGTAGAACGGAGAGAATCGTTGCGCAGTAAACTCGGTTTATGGTTGGCAGACAGACATCTCGCCTACTCCACATATGACGCAAGATGACAAAAGCCAGTTGAGTCTTCTGAATCTGTATCGAGAGTCGATCTGGCACTAGACCATGAAGAGTGACAAGACTCCCAAAGAGGGTGAAGCGGTTGATGTGTTTCAACAACTACACCCCCTATCATTCACTTAGCTACTAATGCCGGCTAAACTGAGTAAAGAGCCTGAACAATATGGGTGAACCTATTTGGTACACCTTTCGTGAGATACACTGCCACATAACCTTACAGCAAACATATTTGAATGCTGCCTTACTATTTTAAACAGTGCCCGTTAGTGAATAAATTAAGCAATCGAAGGCACCATCTTATCGGCTGATAAAAAAAAAGATTTTCCGTCGAATAATACAACTGTTTATTTATATAGTTGAGTACATAATAGTTTAAATATGATTTATTTGCCTCACAACAATCAGTCAGTCAGCAACAACGTAGAACTTCGTACGTACGTACATCAGTTCGAGTTGCCATACCACATTAGCACAGAGATGCATTTGTCGATTCAAATCCCGTAGTGATAGATGTAGTAAAATTATAAGCTGTAATCAGAAAAATTAGGGTTTGAAGATGATATTCAAGAAGTATAATCCAGTGTAATAAATTTGTGAAGAAAAAAAAGTAACATGAAGAATTTGGAAGATTGGAATTCGGGAGAACACAAAGAGTGGATGAACCTTCGCCATTGCAAACGATTTTGAGCCATGTCATTCAGGGTCTCTAACCACCGGTTGCTATCATCTCGCGGTCCCCGACCAGGTAGTCTACACATACCAACATGACTCATTCCACTTGTAAGTGAATTCATGGACTTTTGCCATGTTTTGGTTTGGCCGCCCCTAGCTTTCCTCCAACCTACTCCTATACCACTGAACATAGCATGTCGAGGCAGTCGGTCGTTGGGCATACGTAACACGTGTCCCAGCCATCTCAACTGATGAAGTTTCACTACTTCATCAATTGATTTGCCATCCTTACCTAGTGCCCGTTTCCTAACAACTGTGTTACTTACTCGATGGTCCCAGGATATACGAGCAATATTTCGAAGACACCTATGATCAAATACTAGTAACCTACGAATATCCTCTACTCTTACCGGCCATGTTTCACTGCCATAAAGTAGGACGGAACGAACTGCTGCGCAGTAAACCCGTCCTTTGGTTGATAGACGGATATCTCGCCTACGCCATAAATGACGCAAGTTGGCAAAAGCTAGTCGAGCCTTCTGTATGCGTGCTGAGATTTCGTCACACACCAGACCACAAGGGTTGATGAGACTTCCAAGATAAGTGAAGCGATCGACACGCTCAATTACTTCACTCCCTATCATTAGATCGGGTGTCGATGCAACCCAATCCTGCATTTCGAGGGAGAGAATCGCATCCCGAACATGCTTGCATTGTTGTTTAGAGTGGCCAGAAGACTCTGCATTTTGTCAGCGTCTTCACCAAATAGAACTATGTCATCAGCATATTCTAAGTCAACAAGTGAATCTCCTGGTAGAAGTTCAACCCCTGGAAATCTAGATGAGGAAAGTGTTATCTCTAAAAGTACGTCAATGACAAAGTTAAACAAGAATGGAGAGAGTGGACAGCCCTGACGAACACCACTTGAGGTAATCAATTCTGATGACAGTTCGCCATAAGCTCTCACTCGACCAGTTGTGTTCGAGTAGAGAGCCTTTATAAGGTTAATGTACTTCTTTGGTACTCCTTTCAGTGACAAACACTGCCATAGAACCTCACGATCAACAGAGTCGAATGCCGCCTTAAGGTCGAGAAATACTACCATTGTGGGGCGTCTGAATGTGTGTCTGTGTTCTAGAACCTGACGTAGTGTGAATATCTGATCTATACAACCACGTCCAGGTCGAAAACCAGCCTGGTTTTCTCTAGTCTGCTCTTCACGAGCTTTGATTAGGCGTCGAAGTATTATTGAAGCTAATATTTTAGACACTATATTAGTCAAACTGATTCCTCTGTGATTGTCACAAGAGGACTTTTGTCCTTTCTTATAGACTGGCACAATCAGTGATTGAGACCAGTCAGATGGGATTACGTCCAGTTCCCAAATTCTACCTAAGACCTCAGTTAATCTCATTGCTAATACTGGACCACCATCCTTAAAAATCTCAGGAGTAAACCTGTCAGGGCCTGCTGCTCTCCCTCGTTTCAGATTTCCTATGGCTTTTTCAACTTCGTAAAGGGACGGAGGACCTACATTAACTTGCCATTCAGGTTGACTGGAGATCGTGGGAAACCGAAGTGTGGCTGAAGGCCAGTTGAACTGATCCCTAAAGTGTTCTGCCCATCGATCCAATCTCCTGGATTGAGAATGAATAATATGTCCATCTTTCTCTGAGATTGTTTCGCTAACGGTCGGGGGTTCCTAATTCCGGTTTCCTTAACGAGTCTGAACAATTGTCTGCTATTACCTATTGCCGCTGCCTTTTCCATCTCTCTTGCTTTCGCTACCCACCACTGTTCGCGATCATTGCGTAGACTTCTTGTCAGCTTGCGCTTAAGCTGACTCCGCTCTTCATTATGTTCAGAGCCAGGTGGAATGAGTTTCCGAGCATCTATCAGTGCGATAGATGCTGCTGAGATCCAGTGTTGCTCCCTAACCTTCTGGTTTACCTTACTAGCAGATATCACTGCTGTTTCCACAGCTTTTCGGATATCATTCCATGCTGCATCGGGGTGGGCATCACATACATGGCTGCCTAACTGTTTTCCTAGTTGTTCCTGAAATATACTCTTAGCTTGACTATCATTAAGTAGGCCCTAAGAGGTTTCCTTGCAGCGTCTTTCCTACGTCCAGTAAGACGCAAGCAAATACGCGCTCGCACTAGAGCATGATCTGAATCTAGGCATGTGCTCCAGAATGAGCGACAGTCTTCTATCGAGCCCCTCCATCGGTGGCTGATAGCGATGTGATCTATTTGGGTCCAACGTTGGGACGAATTAGGGGGTCGCCATGTTAAAAGATGTTTTTCCTTATGCTTAAAGTTAGTATTTGCAAGGAACAGGCGGTTATCTGAGCATAGCTGCAACAGACGGTCGCCATTATCTGTTCTTTGAGCCACGACACCATAAGATCCACCTAGGTGTCTTTCCCTATCGCTTAGTTTACCTACTTGAGCATTAAAGTCACCGGCCACTATTACTACATCCGAGCGCTTAGCTTTTCGGAGAAGGTCCGAAAGCTTTCTGTAAAACTCATCTTTTACATCATCTGAGCTGCAGTCAGTGGGAGAATAGGCAGAGACGACGAAGAGGCAACGACGAGTGTCCCTATCTTTCCGGATTCTTACTGTTCCGTTCAGTCGGACAGCGCACAAACGACTGTCTACTGGGATCCACTCTAAGAGAGCTAGTTCTGCCCTAGGACTCAATGCTATACCTACGCCGGCGAGGCCACGGGAAGCAGAATCAGGGCTTCCAGATACACGAAGCGTAAATCGAGTCGGTTCTTTATTTTGGCATGGTGAGGTCAAATGAATGACGCTACTCGGATCCTGTATGCGCGTTTCGGAGACGCAGCACACATCGATGGCGCGAGATTCTAAAGTCCTAGCTAAGGAAGCCTGCTGTCCTATTTGGCAAAGTGTTCGTACGTTAAAAGCTCCTACGTGTAGTTTAGAGCGTGGTTTCAGGAGACCAGGAATGGCGTTCCCCGTACTCGAATCGTTTGCCCTAGCGGTGCGAGGTGATAAAGAGACGTGAGGAGGGTTAGTCATGGAGATAAGAGAGGTATTAGGAGGTGTAGGAAGGATTTGAATGTGACCAACTTGGTCTCGTGTGCTGTTACGGGTATGAGGGCTGATATCACTTCCCGGCTGCCCACACTGTGGAAGGGATTAGTGTTGGTCTTAACAACCTGGGAGCGTGACCGCAGAGCCCAATGGACAACTGCTTGAGACCGGTCGCGCACGGCCTTTTCGTGGGTTTTTTAAAATGTGTTAGCTCCGTTCTTCAAAGGGCCTTACCGCCGGAGACGGAAATCCGTGAGGTAAGGTGAGGTGTGACATTTTAGGGTCAACCTTTTCTAACCCCTTCCTTCCTTGTGAGAAGGCAGCATCGCTGCAGACGCTTACTGCTGTCACACCCTCTACAGTCAGCAGTACGACTACGCCCTCAAACCTTGAGTTGCTGCTTCTAGTCTTACCGTTCTCCAATCGACCTGACTGGGATGGTAGAACCTACAGGAACATGTGTTCCAGCCAATATAGCTCGGTTGGGTCATCACGATCGGCAAGCCCGACCACCGCGTCAATGTAGCAGCTACGGTCGGGCCTCATAACAATGTCAATTAAACAAGCTCATTTGAAGAGAAAATAACTGAAATATAAGTATTTGAACAAAAGTAATAAATTTATACTAGTGTGGAATAAAAAAATAGACTCACAACTGAATTTGTTGAAAGCATATCGTTTTGATTGATTCATAAGCTTTTAAAGTTGCGGTGCCAGTACGTTTTAAACTAGCAGCAGTCCAATCTTCAACAAGGAATTTTCGCAAATCAGGACTGAAAAGGTAGAGAAAAAACGAACATATGGTTAGGATTAAACATGTGATAGTATTACTTATATTTAGTCAATAATGGTCAGTTATAACAAAACTATGAACTAGTGCATATGTGCATTCACAATATTCGTCGCATTTTACAATGGTAAAGAGAGAGGAAATAAAAGTAAGACGTAATACTGAATTTCGATTTTGAGTCATGTTGCCTTAGGTCTTCAGTTATAACCACGATGGCCGTAATTTTCGGTAAGATTTAGTTCAACGGTCATGGAGTGATGAAATGGTCATATATAGAAAGATTGAACCATTTTAAAAAGAGAAACAAACACAATCAAAAGTCATACTATCTTTAGTAAACTTTAGCATTAGCACGTACAACATTTTTAAATGCTTTTCACTAAGAAAAGGCTGATATTGGACTAGGACAGACAAACTAAAACAGTATGATTCCTTGAAGTTAATGATTTTAGAATTAAGCTATTAAGATTACCTGGTTGAGTTCACGCTATCATCGTATCTAATGATTGTAGATGTTGGGTAACATAACTCAACATTGGTTGCAATGGTACAGATGCATTTACTCTTCATCTTCCTTCAGATCATGCGTTTTATCTTGTGAATTCACCTTTGTTTCTCAAACCATGTCAAATGCTTTATATCATCATTGGTACTGTCACTAGTTTTACTACTTTGTATATTGCCTTAATAATTTTATCGCAGTGCTCATGTAGTGTGACAACTTGAATATATATGTACCCAGTTCTATGTTCTTTATGATTGAATGAAATTGTTTACGACATCTTTTATTCGACTGATTATGTACAAGGCTGATAAATTATAAGTCACACTGGTTTTAAAACACAAACTAAATTATTCTACACATTGAATTAATATAACCTTTATTAAATTAAATTAATATTGTCAGTAAATATGCTGTAAAATATCGATATTGGTGATAACAGAGGTAATAAGAAAATGTATAATATTTAAGCTTACCAACAATGGCCAAAAAGAATGAACTGTAATAGTTCCACACATAAAGACCAATCCTAAAATTTATTGTCAACGAAAATAAAAAAAAGAGAAACATTGAGAAATCGATTGAATATTGAATAAATGAAATAAACACTAAAAAAAAACATGAGTTGGATCACAGGATTTTGTTTGACAAATGAATTAAGTATCGGTAATAATAATTTAAAGTGAATTGAGTACATATTCATTCATTTTTATATAACAGTTTCTGGATTGGATTCACTTACTTTATTCTGTTTCAAGCGTTCACGAGCATATTTTGTGAATTTAGCGTCCATTTCTAAAATCATATCTTCCCAACAAATACATACTTGATTGAAACTCCAGTCTAATAACTGACGACAAAAGAAAGAAAAACAAATAAAATAAAAGAATACATTTTAGTAAAGTTGGAAATTACTTAGTTATTTACGCTGTTACCCCTCGTAAAAGAGCATACGTCGCCCACAAGCATTCTCCATCCAACTCTGTCTTCGGCAGTCCTTTTCATTTCTTCCCAGTTGCTATTCATCCTATTGATGTCTGCTTTCAATCCCAACGCAATGTGTTCCTTCGTCTTCCCCTTTTCGTTTACCCTTCAGGACTCCAAGTTAGCGCATGCTTCGTAATACAGTTTGATGATTCCCATAATGTATGTCCTATCTACCTCCATAGTCTTTCTCTGATTTATTCTTCAGATAAAAGCTGGTTTGTTCTCTCCCACAGTAGGTTGTATCCGGTGGTATCCGGTCAACGGACATTGAGTATCTTGCATAGACGATTATCTATAAATATTCGTACTTTTTGATGATGGTTGTAGTAGTTCTCCAAGTTTCAGCTCCGTATAATAGAACTTTCTTGACGTTCGTATGAAGATTCTGACTTTGATATTCGTTGACAGTTGTTTTGAGTTCCATATGTTCTTCAATTTTAGAACATTGCCCTTGCTTTGCCAATTTTCACCTTCACATCTGCATCTGATCCTTCTTGTTCATCGATGATGCTTCCCAAGTACATGGAAGATTCCACCTCTTCCAGAGTTTCACCATCAAGTGCGATTGGCTTGGTGGTTTCCGTGTTGTATTTGAGAATCTTGCATTTTACTATGTCTATGTTTGAGCCTACTACGGCAGAGGCTGTTGCTATACTGGTTGTCATGACCTGCATTTGTAGGTATGCATGGAATAGAAGAGTTAGGTCATCTGCGAAGTTCAAATCTTCTAGCTGATTCTGAGCTGTCCAATGTATTCCTTGTTCCCCCTCAGATGTGAAGTTCTTTATAATCTAGTCGACTACCAGAAGAAAGAGGAAGGGGGAGAGAAGTCAGCCTTGTCTGACACCGGTCCCCACTTGCAATGCATCTGTCAGCTGTCCTCCATGCACCACTTTGCAGTGTAGTCCGTCATATGAATTCTGTATAATATTGACGATCTCAGGTACAACATAGTGTCGAAGAAGGTTCCACATGGTCATCTCGTTCATATTGTCAAACGCTTTCTCACAGTCAGGGAAATTGATGTATAGTAACGACTTCCATTCAGTTGTTTGTTCAACGATGATCCATAGTGTCGCGATTTGGTCTGTGCACGACTGATCCTTACGGAATCCGGTCTGTTGATCTCAAATTTGGGCGTATACTGAGTCTTAAATCTAGTTCAACAACACTCAGTCGAAAACATTTCCTAGTAACGATTGTAGTGTGATTCCCCTGTATTTCTCACACTTGATCAGATCTTTCATCAGTATATTGATGAGGTATCTTTCTTCAACGCTTCACCTTTTTCAATGCTTCAGGTCCTGCTGCTTTCCCGCTTTTGATTTATCTGATGGCCATGGTGATTTCTTCGACCAGAGCGGTTCCTGAGTGTGTGGATCATTTTATTTTTTTATAAAAAGAGTACATTAACATTTCTCCCTAATCAAACCTTCACGGTACAGCTTGAGACCAATGGGTTTCACTGATTCCGAGAACCACCAAATTGTATCTGCTCATTTCCGTAGCGATTTGACTGGTTCTCCCGGTCTCTCACATTGTCTGGACGTTCCATGTACCTATAAGAATTGTTGCTTGGTTGTTAAAAGGGATATCATCCTCTTAACTCCAAAAGAATCTCCGCTCTCACAATGAGGCCTCAAAATTCTACTGAAGGAAGATCCGTCTTTTATCAGGGCAGGGTTTAAGTGGTTTAAATTTTTTTCTGGTTAACGGTTTTTAGCAACCTTATTTTCTACGAGGGTGGGGATACTGACCCTACGCCCAATCCTCCTCCTTTACTCGCCGTTGAGACTGGCAGTCGGATATTTCCTACAGTGAAATACTGGGGGCGCGTTTAGGTCTCGACTGGACTCGTCATCTGAATGTATCTTTAACTCACCTTCGATGTTTAACCTGGAACCCAGGAATTTTCGCTTCAAACGCTAATAGGCTATCTATTGAGCTATTGAGTCCAGACAGCCCTTAGCTTATTTAATTAGTTATAAATTGAACGTAAAACGCGTCATGGATTCCACTGTTAGACACGTGACTAAGTGGCAGTACTAAAGTAATCTCCCGAGAATGTACTTATTGTAATGGAAACTAGCCAAATGCAGCCGTTATATCAAAAATAAGAAAATACAAAACGTTACGAATTAAATGTAGACTTTTATTTCTAGAGCATTCAACTGAATTGGCTAGTTAACTTTTTGCATTGATATGAAAAGGGTTGATCAGCATTGGATGCTTGTGTTATAGCTACCATCATAAAGAACTAAGATCATTTAAAACATTAACGAGACTTCAAATCTCAAGGAAATGTGTTATAACGCGCTTTGTCCGACTCTGATACTGATACACAAACTTCGTATATGCAAGTCCCCAACCGCTACTGAGTAGGAAAACTAAAAGTGATGAAGGAAGTCTATTGGGTTAAGCCGAATTAAGTTCATGTGCACTAATCCATACATATTTACACTCCTCAGAAAATGAAATCATTTCTCGGTCAATAACATGAACTTGTCGGTAGATTTTCAACTGTGGTAACATGGCCTTTTCAGTTGATTTTTGACTGACCCATTAAGTCTATCTTTATTTCATCAGAAAGTCGGTCAGTTATACGCAATGTGGAATCTAATATAAATATTTACTGAAGAAGTAATAAACAGGGATGAAACGGCCGCCCAGTGCTTACAGGTTTTGAATGGTTATTTAATTAAGATCAATTTGTGGTTTCATTTGTGAAAATATTACGATCTCGTCAAAATCCCATACTAGTAAAAATAACACTACTTTGTCATTACAATTAAGTGGATTTTGTATTGCATTCTGTAAGTGACCAAAACTTACAGATTTCGTAATTTTAATTGAATAAGCCTGTGATGATAGTCTCATTAGCTGATAGCCAAACTTCTGAAATCCATCGCATGGGATCTAAGCAACGAAAATTTAGAAAAACAACAAAGAGTACTAGTGGGTTTACAGTATGGATGCATAGATTAGGTCATTTTAATAGTGAATTCTAACAAGCGAATTTTTAAGAGTTCAGTAACAAAACCCCTACCATATTAAACAACACGAAATAATCATAGTCTGCAAAGGCGTCATTGGTAAATATAAGATCGAGTAAAAACAACTATGAAAGTTAATCGATTTACAAATGCTATTTAATTCCTGATAGTAGAAAGGTCTACTCTTATATTTTTGATTGAGATCATGAACCGATTGATGTTAGACCACCATTGAAAGCCTGGAAGCACTGGACGGCCGTTCCGTCCTATTGTGGGACTCAGCAGTGCGCACTCACGGTCCCGCTCGCGGATTTAAACCCAGGGCCTCCAGTCTCGCGTGCGGACGCTTAACCTACAGGACTACTGAGCTGGCATCCAATGGTGTTAATGTTCTGGTAAGAAGCCGTGACCAGTGGAGCTAATCTTGTCGGGTAGAAACAGGTGTCTGCCTCAGTACAATGGAAGATGGTCGTGCAACTTCGTGGATTGGTTGAGGATAGACATTAACACCGTTAGATGCCGGCTCAGTAGTCTAATAGTTTAACGTTCGCACGCGAGACTGAAGGTCCTGGGTTCGAATCCCGCGAGCGGGACCGTGAATGCGCACTGCTGAGTCCCACAATAAGACGGAACGGCCGTCCAGTGCTTCCAGGCTTTCAATGGTGGTCTAACATCAATCGGTTCATGATCTCAATCAAAAAGTTAACAATCTCACAACCCTAAACTGATCTTATGTTTTTGTTGATGACACGTTTCACTCCTTATAAGTAGTATGATGTATATACAATAATTTTCAACTCACCTTACGGCAGACCACATTACATTGTCCGTCGACATTAAGAAACGATTCAGTTATTAAAAGTATATTTTGTTCAGCTGATAAATGGCAACTGATAAGCTAAAAAGAAATGAATATTTATTAAATAAATAATAATCACAATTATAATAATGAGTACCTTGGATGTATCAGTATGATTCAATGTATCATCAGCTGAATGTAAATTATAAGCAGCGATTTCGAATACCCCGAACCCGTAAAAATAAACTGTATTTTTCGAATAAACTGTAAGTATCGGAAAACTAATCACAAATAAATTTCAAGAAATTTAGGATAAATATGTTGCAAACTACTTGTTGCCATCGATATCTCTAAGTAATTGTGCATATTTACAAACATCAGTAGATGAGAAGTTCACATCACTGTAAGGAAAAAATAGATTTAATCATCATATTACTAAATAACAACAAGTTCATACGATTTAAACATAGATAAATGCTTCACATCTGGAAAGTATGTAGCTACATTATTCTTAAGATAGTTAATCTCTGAATTACTATTATTGGTATTTGTAGTTGGACTTTGATAATTGGTCCATAGAAGATAATCAATTGTACTGGGAAATTGTAGCTCATGAAAAACGAATCCATCACCAACAACAAAGAAGCATACTTTACCAGATGAGAATGCAGCTGTTAATATTTTGCCATCCGGTCTCCAAGTCAAATTAGATACACTGCCTAGATCTGATTTATCACACTCCCAAATACATGTCATTTTATACCTAGACAAAAGTAAAAGCAAATAAGATGGAACCGAAGATAAGTGTACTAATAGAGAACAATTTCGTTAGACAAGAAAAATATACAAACATAAACTTATGTATACTTTTATATTTAACAGTAGATGTAATTTAATCAACTGAATTTATGGTTTTCAAATATAGCGGTCTGGTTGATATAAATGAATGCAATGACAGGATAATAATTTATATATCTGAAAATAACAATTAAGAATTCACGCCAGTTTACAGGCATGATCAATTTGATATAAGGATGCATAACATTCAGGAGCGTACATGGAAAATGAATTTAACCGCTTTCTCCAATACCTTTTCTTTCGACGAATCACAGAAATACCATACAATAATGATTGACCTGTGATTGAGAATGTAAGCTACCCCTCCCCCACAAAAACAACTTGATTACAGTTTATTTTACTCCTACAAGATAGAATTTTCTATGTAGGTTTTATTTCAGAAGAGCTAGGGCTATGTGACGAAAGGGAACTGGAGTATCAAAATATTGGCGTTGAAGCTAGAAGTTATTGCACTTATTTCAAGACAAATTACTTCAACTATGTAGACTTATTATTTGACTACAATATAACTCTTCATAAATAAATATTTTTCACTAACCTAACATTAGAATGGAAAAATAACTGAAAAAATGCCGGTTGGTTCAACGACTTTTTGAAGAGAGTAAGAACTTTCAAAACCCCATAGGTTCATTTACTTCAATCTTAAATAAATCTTCCTTCCTGCCAAAATGAGCACTGAATCTTATTCCAAATTTCAGATTGAAGTCAAAATTGGTGAATAACTATGAAGTCAAGTTCACTTTTGCTGAAACATAACTAAGTGGAAACTGAAAAAACTTTGCATTTAGCATTCAAGTAAACTTGTGATGCAGTCTTTAGATTGTTACAGACGTTAAACAAACAATGAATTCATTTCATTAACTGATAATGACATGTCCCAATTTATTCCATCCCCAACACTACTCCTTATAACTGACCAAAGACAAATATGGATTGATGCGAGGAAGCGGAGAAAGACTACAAATAAGGATTCATTATGCACCGGAAATAGATCAAAAATTATCCCTTAATAAGTTGGGTTTATATGCTTCATTCGGATTGACCAAAAGTCATATTTGAATAAATTGAACTAGGTACCGCTTGATATCACTTAATGGATAAATCAGTCTGGTTATAAACATTAGCGTATTATAGCATAAAACAGCTTCAACTGACAAATGTAACATTTTTGAACTGCATGGTTACTCCTTTCTAACAAGAAAGAACTGCAACATCTTAACTTGGGTCATGGAAAAATGACCAAAGACCTTAAGAAACTGAATAGAATGTATCAGTCACACATTAGCATATAAGTGTGACGGCGTAAATATGATCACTCATTAGGCGAATCATATAGTCTGGACCAACTACCGATCCGATTGTTATGTAGTTCGAATTATAATGCTTGTACTTTCCTGTTGTAATTGAAATGTGGTATACAGTTTAAAAGATATTAAAGGACACAATGATATAACTTTAGGCAGTAGGTTTCACTTTTCCTTAACAAAATTTCAGTGAATAATTTCGTTTGATTTAGAAATCATATAATTTCATAAGTAGAAACTGTCACATCTATAGTAGGAGTCGTAAAAAATAAACCGAATATTTTGACAGGAATTAGACTGAGTTTGCTCGAATAGTCGATTACGACTTAACTGTTATACAAAATTTCAGACCATTAAGTTCCTACCAAATCGTCGATAAATTATAAAAGCGTCACAAATGCAATGATAGGCAGTATTCAAGATTTACCTGTGCACAGAAACACACCCACTTTCTGAACCTAAAGCAATCAAGTCCGTCTTCGGCGACCATATACATGCAACAATTTTAGTTTTCATTAATTGTCGAGTTTCGACAAGGGAGTAGGTGAAATCGACAACCATTTTGCTACAAAAAAACGCAAAGGTGTGGGTTTAAGATACATAAAAACAAACAGGAAATAACGACTGTTTATTACGATGCACTTTGGAACACCGAAAACCTAAGATAAGAAAATAAAATATTATGGGCAACTAAAGACAAGGTAGTGGGAAATTTAAGAATTTTGCTCGATGTCAGCATAACGAGCATACGCAACTAAGTAGCTGTGTATTGGAAGTGAACTAGACAGGTTAGACGTAGGAATATATAGTTATTAATTATTTCAGTATAGTGAAGCTCTTGATATAAATAACCAATAACAGTAACTCTGGAGTCACAGTTTTTTAAACTAAAGATATTCAAGAATTAGCGTTCATGAAAAAATGTGATATTTTGTATATTATAATTAATTTTGCCTAGATTTCGCTGCAACGGTCAGAAAAGATAAAGTATAGTAACGTACACAATTACCTGGCATGTTACACATTGAGTGTTAATCAAGATAAGCAGGTGGACAAAATGAGTCTCATAAAATACGTAGGTGCAACTAGAGAATATATTTTATACTTTATAATACATTAAGTAAACGAATGGTATGTCCATAAGTTCATTTATTATTGCTCAATTAATAGATATTTGAAAAAATCCTTTAGTATTGGTAGATTTTTAAAGCAACTTAACAAAGATTTCGGATGAAAACTAGCTAAACTCGATGAAGCTAACTGCCCGGTTTCAAGCTTGATCACATTTTCATAACATTCTTCCTGTATTTAGTACGTGTAACCTAAATCAGTATAAACGGACCTGCAAACAGTTAACAAGATGCACGAGGACCAACTTACTTAGGACAGATTTAAAGATTCGTGACTTACTAAGTTTAGTCAAACCCTGAATATGTTAGTTTGAGTCAATTGTACCAGTAGTAGCTTCACACAGTCAAGCTTTTGACCATAAGTGGAGAGTAAAAGTGTTGTCATATAAAAGCATACCCATTGTATAGAGATTCGTGCATTAAAATATACGACTTTGTGGCAGATACAAGTAGACCAATATCAATAATCTTAATAATTACACGAAAATTTATGCCAGTAACACAACTTGATGATCTCGATAGATATATTTTTTGAAACCAAAGGTATAAATTCATCGCCAAAACCAAAACAAGCTAGTGCTAATTCGATTAGTTTACTTATTTATTTACTATCTGAGGAAGTGGTACACTAATTCACGAAACGCCAGAATTTCTCATTTTTACTCATTGAATATCACAAATATATCATTACTAAATATACTCTGCCGAATGTTCAGTTTATTTCAAACGAAGTCCAACTTTGGTAACGATACTTAAATAATAAACAAACTCTGATTTGAATATGCATCGAATTAGTGGAAAACAGAATTTCCAAACGCTTGATCACAAAAAAATTCCAGTTCTCAACAGCCTGGTTAATAGTCATGCAAGCATTTGCCAAATAAAGAAGTAAACTGAAGACTTAGCAATAATAAATTCAGCAACAAAAATAACATACAGCTTTATATATTTTTTTATGGACATACAGTACTGAAAGTAAACTAAAAAACAATTTTCTGAATGTTTGTATTTAAAATACTAGATACATAAACAGTTTCTTTAAATCAGTATTATATACACTAATGAATCAAAAATTAGCTTATAATATTTTTATTTACAACTAAGCGGTTGATCACATATTTCAGCAACACGCTTGATAAGATCGCTGATAGCGGGATATTTATCTAAAACAGGTTTTAGTGAAACGAAATATTCTGAAAACTCGCAAAATACAGTCCAATGTCCATACAAAAGGGCATCAACCTTCCCAGGTGTACTACGTTCAAATAGAAATGGGCCATTACCAAGTAGTTCAACAATACTGACACAAAGTGCTTCCATATCTTTCACGATATCACTTGTACTCATTTTATCCCAACCAATAGATTCCAAAAACGAAGATGTTGTTGTCGTTTTCGTTTGGCAATAAATCCAGTTAGCAAACGCGGTGTAGAAGATTTAAGACATTCGTAAGTCAAATTCGAATAGGTAGATTCATGAAACCAGGTGAAATAAAGCATTACATTCCGTAATGTATCAGAAATCCAAAATAAGTAAGAATGTCGTAAACTGCGTGAAGTAAGTTTAGAACCATTAAGATTAATATCCTTATTGGCTTTTAATATACTCAAACGCAGACACAAAGAAGTGTAACCAGTCACAATAGAGCCATTAAGAATAGTAACAGGGAGTAAGTGATCAGGAGAACATGAATCAGCGTTTAAAATATGATCAACATGGAACGGTAATCTACTTCGAGACAAATAGCAAATGACAGAACGAGTTGCAGCTTCATCACAAGGAAGTATAATCTGGCGTGGGTGCGTTAATAAAAGAAGCTTTGACATTTGACCGAAGTTTAACTCTGAGTATTTAAATTAGTATTTCAAGCTGTAATAAAATAAAAACAGAAAATGCAGTTACATTTACCTGTAAATACGAAAAATTCATAGACGACATGAGCCGGTCTATTATATTATAAATGGAAGAGATGACGTTCATTAAGTTAGTCTTCTTTTAAAATATTTATGCGTTACACAGAACCATGAAGGAAAAGCCTGACGAGCCGGCAGAGGATAAAATACTAACGGAATGTCACTAAAGTTGGCATATAAAAGATTCGTAGGCTATATATTGCTTTAGTCACATTACGTACACCAGTCATAAAAGGCATTCATGAGACCGAGCATACAAGTGCTAAATCCTATATCGTTCCCAAAAATAATCCGATTAGCTATGACAGACAGGTTTTCTATCATAATCGAATTTACGGAATGGTCCCAATATACATAAATCAAAGCACGTGATAGAGATTCTGAAAATAATTTGGCAGAAATGTATTATTTCCACGGCCGTTTTGTATTATAATCACATCAATAACCCTGTACTAAAACAACTACGAGTATTTCGACAAGCCAACATGCTATAAGCTTATATAATAGTTAATACGCAGATTCTCCTTAGTGTTTAAGAATAAAACTTAATGAACAACATAATATATGGGCTCATGAGAATCATAAGCTTCACTACTGAAGAACGCATGATTGGCGTTGAGACGCTGAGGAAAAAAAGATTGCACCTCTGAGGCATAAATTTAACTGGACGCGGTCATCTGAAAATACAGAAAAGCACTGACCCACACTTGGACTTTTACATGGCCACTGTTGCAACTTCCCGAGGTGTTAGTCAACAATTTTAAACTTAAAACATGTCAGTAGAGATTGTGATATTTCGGTGACAGTCGTTAACGTTTATCAAAGCCAACAAACTAGTTTAATCGGACTGAAGTTGATTAAGGTATTAAAAAATATTGACAATTTCTTTATGTATTATTTTTACAAGCTTAAGGACCCCTCGAATTAGTTTTAGGCCTTTTATTTTGAGGGTTTGCTGCAAACCAGACTACATTTTTCCTATGTATAGGGCATAACGAGACAGTATGAAATGTCATGAGTTTATACAATTGTGCAACGAAACTTGCGCAACTCGGAAAGTAGGGAAAAACCAGGTGTACTGTAGCCTCAAATCGCACACCGACACATAAATTTTTAAAACTTTGTAAGGATGTTATACTTCCTTAGAAATAAATAACTATAAATTGTATATAATTCTTCCTGTTTAAGTGACGTTAGTCAGAACTTTGAGTGATATAATGAAACACTATGCAACAACAGTGCCTGGATTGAGCACACGATATCAATTAAATAAGTGATAGCCCAGTTTACAAAAACCTGCAACTTCCCAGACGTATTTACCAATATAAGTGATGTAGCTCGACAAGCAAATCATAATTTTTGGAAACTAAAAATACCATGAAATTATCTCGGCCTCAGTAATTAATTTTTAGATAGATTCGCTTGCTACACCAAAGTCGAAAAAATAGGGAAATGCTCTAAACTTAAATGACGAAACTACTGATGACCTATACATGCGAAAATCTCATTTATTGCGCTCCAACACACCCTTGAACGATACCTTGAGCTAACGTTAAATGGACAATAAATAAGTGGATTCACATTTAGATTCATGTATTTTAAAAAAGAGCTACAGCCTTCTTTAGTACTTTTCTAGTGATTCTGGTCTTCTCTTGAATAAGTGAGTTGTAAGAGGGACCAATTCTTCGGGTAACTTGTTCCAAGAATTAATTAGTCGGCGTGAAAACTTGTATGTCACCGAGATTTTGTCCATTCCTGGCTTTCGTTCTCGCTTGGTACGTCCTTTGAGTCGTCCTCATTCAGTAGGTAGAGAGGACATCATTTCTTGATGATCTGTACACCATGATCAGATTATCCCATAATCCGTTGCAGGACAATGTAAAATGGTCTGGCCGGGAAAATGTTTAAATCTTGAAAAATGGTAAAACTAAAACCACCAGAGAAGTTTAAGAAGCCTGAGGCTCGGGTCAAGCAACAATCAACAGACACCTCGGAACCGATGCATTTTATCAAATAATATAAAAAATCAGAGTATCGGACCAATAAACAAATTAAAGGGAGATACAATAAAATTGAAGAGTTAGACTATAACAGGAACAGGTCAAAAATAAACAGTCAAAACCGGGATCGATATGACAAGCTGTGGGTTGTATGTGAATAAATTCGAACACTCCACTTCTACATGATGTTTATGCTGATGGTGAAGGATAATGAAAGCCTCATGATCAAACTATCAAGCTCATATAGCAAAACTCCACCTGAATCATCTAGTTGAACAAAAATATTCTCCACCATCATTTTATTTGCTGTTTAACAAGTTGTTTGTTCCCATGAATTTTGTCTTGGCCTTTCTGATTATTTTTTCTTGTAATTAACTACAACACTAGTAAGACTGACAAGTCGGTAATTTGATGGAATTTTTCGTGATCCTGTTTATTGAATTAAAGTGATGCTTGCATCTTTGCGGTCCATAGTTGAATTATCTTGTTTAACTAACATATTGGATATCATAGTCGATGAGGCAGCAATGTATTGTGCGGTTTGTTTCAAGATTTTAGGGTGTAGTTAATCCGTTCCAGTTGATTTTTCCGCTTTTAAATCACTAGGGCCCCTAGCACGTTGTCTTGATCAAGGTCCACAGTGGAAAGCTGATGTTGAATTTTCGTATGTCGCTCTAGTCCTTTGTTTGAAAAATATCCCGTAATAGTCTGTCATTGCCTCACCAGTGAAGTGAAGAACGGCAGTAGTATGGATTTCCTTGATGTCCTGATTTCTAGAAGAACAGACAGTCCTATAAAAGCTGGTGTATTTGGGAAAAAACATGGACAGATCAGTATTTACATTTTCATGACTTTGCATCTCTTCGATGCAAATTAAAATTGGATAAAACGGCAAGTCAAAATATTATGTTCCGAGGACAGTGTAGATGGCGACAAATAAAAACTAAAGCAGCTATTTTGAAATATCGTCAGTCCGAATGATTTCGGTTTCAGTCTAGAAAGGACAGCAGGCTGGGTGATTTGTATTAATTCTGGTAACAGTGGTCTCTCAGTTTATCCAACTTTCTTTTGTAAGCGCCGATAGATTAGGCTTCAACTAGGTGCTGAAGTAATGAATTTCATATGTTGATGATTCGACGGGGAAGTCGACAGTATGCTGATATGTAATCTGTTCTGGGCTTGTAAACCTTTGTAAAGTGTTCCCGTAAATTTTCAATTTTGGAAGACAAGAAGCATGGGGCATATCAGATGCAAACTTATCAGCCGGTAACTTGAAATCGTGTTCACGTTCTTTCTGTTCCTCTGATACGACAATGGAAATACGTTCATTTTAGCCAGTCGAGCATCATAAGACAGCTCTGCCTTTTATAGGAACCAGCTTATTTGTGGTTCATTAAACTTTTATGGGCTTACTGAATACAAAGTCAAAAATGTTTTAGCGTCGACATGGCAGCTATCACACGTCAGTGTGCAGTAGTTCTAGAGTCTCGGCTTACGATTACTCCTGAGTAAATGTGTGTCTGTAGCAATTTCGGTTGGTTAGTCGGGTCACTGTATATCGAACATATAATCGGTCCATGTCAAGGCCAAGGACAAGCAACGCTCATCGGTTGGTCGTATGACATGGACTGGCCAATGAGGTGGTGGTCTCGCTGTACTCATACTCTGTACTCATTTTTACTAGTGTATTTCTGTACTAACGTCCTTTGTGTTATACAGTCTTCAGAGCGGACTTAGTACTTTGATACGTCGAGGGGGTATGCACGCTAGGAGCTGACCGCTAGGTGTGACTTCGAAGTTAGCTGCTCTGTGTAAATTAACTCGACTGCTTCTGTGGAGCTACTTTTACAGTCTGTACTCAGAGGGCTTTGTTCCTGCGTGTGGAGCAAAGTACATTGGCCGTACCCAGCACTCGCTTTCAGCTCGGATACGGGAACATATTCCAGCTTGGTTCTCCAAAGGGGGAAAGGAAAGCAGTTAGGAGTTCTATACTTGAACACCTAATCGGCTGTAACCATTCTACAGATCCAAAAAATGAATTAAGGTTGTTTGTATGATTCGTTCAAATCTACCCAGATTTCTTCGCATCCAACTTTTAAAAATGGCCAAAACTCATTCCATCCAGGAGCTTAAACCAGAACTATGCGTACAAAAGAAGTACGTCTTATCGCTATCGTTACCTTGGCCCTAAGTATTTTGATTATCCAATTATTATTATTATTATTATTACTGCATTCCCCTCTTTACTTATGTCTTATATTCTCATTGTTTCATTCGTGAATACTCATCATATCACCTTATTTATTTTTACACCTCTATGACCCTTACTTATTATAACAAAAACATTTAAATCATTTTAATCATCGTATTATATTCACTAAATCTATTGTTATTGTTCGTATTACGT